TTAAAGTAGGAACTAATAAAAGATATTTCCAGATCGAGCTAGCAGCAAAATTACAGGCTAACCTGAAATGTCTTTGTGGGTTTATGGCCGAAGAGAAATCTGCGAACCTGGAAGATTTCTCTCTCAAACCGGGAACGCTTAACCAATCTCAAAATCAGGAGTCTCACGAGAAACAATTCCAGGTTTATTCCTCTTCATTACTTTGATTAATGGACTCCTAGACAGAGCCAGCTCACTATCCATCATTTACTGAAACGATACCAAGGTGTGGAGATCTGTAAAGAACAAAAACGATCCACTTGATCTTCAGAAGTACCTCGTAACAGTAGATAAGTGTAGAGTAGACAAAGGGTCTGAGAAACCCTACCTCATTAGAAAGACACACACGTTACAAGATGTGCAAATCCAAAAATGGCTTCTAAACTAACTGAAAATAAGGCAGTTGAAAGTCTAGATCTGGAGTTTTACTGAAACAGAAGGAAATGAATCTGTTTACATGAGCTCGTGACATAGATTTCCCAGGAGTCCTTTAAGTGAAAACTTGACCTATTCTTAAGGACTAAGGATAATATCTTACCATGATTTGCCAATTTCTTTTTTTCCTCTGTTATCGTCGATATAACAACGTTCCTGCCTGGAGGTATTGGCGATCCAGTGCAATTAGACACGGAAGTCCTTTAAGCGAAAGCTTCTATTCCGTCCACAACCATTTGAACCAATTGAGCGATATTGGGTTCACTCATTCATATGTGATACTAACGTTTTGACTGAGACTGGTCCAATCAAATGGCTTAACTATGAACGCTACCATAGACATAAGACAGTACTTTAACTTCAAGATGTCAGTGCAAAGTTATAAACTGATTTGTGTTACTCTACTCAATCAAACTCTGACATCAGGGAATGGAAATTCATCCAACAGTCCTTGAGGCTCAAACACATACTAACTCAGCATGTGACGAGACTAGCCAAGAAGGATGGTGATCCTAGACCCCATCTAATGAAGATAACCTTCCCATCTTCCCATATGGCGGCTGCAATTCTGGAAGCATTTTGTACCAACAGACGTCGATTGCCACCTGGAATCCACATGCAACCGGATAGGCCATACGAAGCTAGGACCAAGCACTAAGGCAAGTTGGAGCTGACCATTCCACTTGTGGACTATCTAAATGATAAAAAACGTGTAAAGGACAGGGCCTACCACCTCGGAAAACCTCATATAGGTGGGCTACCTGTTCATTCACGTAAGGCTCACACAGAAAAACAGGACTAAGCTCACGCGTTCCAAATTGAAAGCATAAACTGCTTATATATGAACGCCGCGAGTCTACCAAACAAACTGGATGAATTACGTGAACTTAGCAACGCTAATAAGGCCCATCTGATAGGAATATCTTAAACCTGGATATCTTCTCAGTTCTCGGACCAAGAGTTAGCATTACCTGGGATGACTTTGTTCCGCAACGACGGAAAAACAGGAATCGGGGGCGGAGTAGCCATATACATAAGCTCTTGCTTGGAGGTGCACCAAGTTCACAACCTCGAGTTTAAAAATCTTGAGGAATCTATATGGTGCTCTGTAAGATTGTCTAGTACTTCCAGGTGTCTAGTCGGAGTCATTTACAGGAAGCCAGCTGCCGACACCGAGTACGATAGTCGTATGCTGGAAGGACTATCCCGCTCTATCCGTCTCGGTTTCACACACATCCTGATTCTAGGGGACTTTAATCTCCCTAGAGTCAACTTCGCGGAACATACGTACACTGGAGGCGACAACTCAACTGAAGCTCGGTTCTTCAACCTCATCGATAACTTGGGCTTATATGAAAATGTGAGGTCGGCAACTCGTTGGAGAAACAGTCAGGCACCATCGCGCCTAGACTGTGTATTCACAAACGAAGAATTCCTAGTTGACAACCTCTCAATCCTGGCTCCTCTGGGAAAGAGCGATCATCCCGTCATAGCCTTCAGTTTTGTCATCAAAACTAAGCTAAGGTATCCCACCAATAATTTGCGTTGGAATTTTAAACGGCTGAATGTGCCAGCTCTGCATGACTATCTACAACAGGTGGTTTGGGATGTTCACCCTCAACTCGACGTGGACGGTCATTGGGACTACTTACTGCACACGCTCTTATGTGCTACAAACCATTCAGTTCCTCAAACGTTTCCCAAAGGCTGCAAGCCACCTACAGTAATCAAGAAGCGTACCCTTCGCCTGCTAGGCCGCAAACGGCACTGTTGGGCGGAATACAAACGCACTAATAACGATGGAGCGTATAGGCAATATAAACATACAAGGAACATATTCACGAAGGCTATAAGAGAAGACAGGCTTCAGTACCAAACAAAGCTTATGGACAAATTCGCCTCTAACCCTAGAAGCCTATTCCGTTATGCAGCCTCTCTTCGTCAAGCCAAAACAGGAGTTTCTCAACTGCTAGGTCTTAACGGCCCGACCAACAACGATGGCGATGCCGCTAACCTTCTGGCGGCACATTACTCTTAGACATTTCAACCGGCCGACATCAACTTTACTGACGACAGTTTCCTCTGCAATTCCACAGGACTTTCCGAAGTGGACCTAAGGGCTGACTTGGTGTTCCGGAAATTGCAGCCTTTAAAACTAGATACTTCTCCTGGCCCGGATATGGTCCATTCTGCCATACTGAGGGAAGCAGCCTCAATCCTGGCAACGTCGCTCAGCGTGATGTTTACACACTTGCTAAGGCGAGGCAAACTACCGGAAAATTGGAAGTTGGCTCACATCACACCAATTTTCAAAGGAGGTCGACGCAATGAACCTTCAAGTTATCGGCCGGTGGCTCTTCTGTCATTACCTTCAAAACTCATGGAGTCCCTGATATGCGACGGTTTAAATGACTATCTACTGTCCTTAAATTTCTTCCCACCCCAACAGCATGGTTTCAGGAAGGGTTACTCTTGTATAACCAACCTGCTGACTGCGATGGACAGATGGACAAGCATTCTCGATCGCAAGGGAAAGGTTGATATCATTTACCTTGATTTCTCAAAAGCTTTTGATAAGGTTAACCACTTGTGTCTTATCAATAAGCTCAAACGACTAGGTATCAAACCACCCCTAATCGATTGGCTTACTTCATACCTAAAAAATCGACACTTTAAGGTTAGGGTTAATTTCACTTTATCTCAGGCTATGGAATGTCCTAGTGGGGTCCCCCAGGGCTCAGTACTAGGGCCTCTTCTCTTCTTGATCTACATAAATGATCTTCCTCAACAGGTAACGTCAGATTTATTACTTTTTGCCGACGACGTGAAACTTTGGAGAGAGATACGCAACCGAGACGATATACGGGCACTTCAGGAGGATCTGACTCGCCTTCAAAGTTGGGCAGACGATAACGGACTTACCTTTAACATTTCAAAGTGTAAAGTAGTCCATCTGCGACATGTCGCAAACTACAGTTACAACTTAGGAAACTCCTCTCTAGTAGTATCCCAAGTCGAAAAAGATTTAGGAGTCCTGGTGCCCCATGACTTAAAGTCTTACGCTAATTGTGACAAAAATGCCTTCCGAGCAAACCTTGCACTGGTAACGTTGAGGCGCATTTTTGGTCAGTTTGACGGAAGAACTTTCCACACGATCTCCAATAGTTTCATCCGTCCCCATTTAGAGTACGGAAGCATAGTACTCTCCCCTCATTCCAAAAGGACAAGGTCACTTTGGAGCGTATCCAACGGCGAGTTACGAAATCAGTTCGAGGACTCAAATTTAAACCTTACGAAGAACGGCTCCATCCAATAGACCTTTACTCATTATAGTATAGGCGTCCTAGAGGCGATTTTTTAATGGCTTATAGTATTTTTAACACTTCTGGACATCCTCTTAAACACCTACTTAAGCTCAGTTCGAATAATAACCTAAGGGGTAACACCCAGAAACTGGAGACACAACATAGCAAAACGGAATGTAGACACAACTTCTACTCCTTAAGAGTTGTCAAAAGCTGGAATTCGCTGCCGGCCGAGCTAGTCCAAGGGACTTCTCAGGAGTCCTTCAAGAGGCAACTTGACCTATTCTTAAGGACCAAGGACAGCATCATACTATGACTTACCAATCTCTTTTATTGTTAAGATACCTAGGTTCCTGCCTGGAGGATTTGGTGATCTTCTGCTACTAGACACGGAAGCCTGTTAAGTGAAAGCTTCTTCTATTCCGTCCACAACCATTTGAACCATTTGAATTTGAACCTCGACCTATAGGTATTGGTTATAGGATAAGGTCGTGACGGATTCGAAGTTATACACTACTAATACCTAACGCGTCTTCAACTCAGTGGGTGGTGTCTACACATTTGGATCTCATAGGAGTATCTTCCTCCTAAGGCAATACCAGCCATCTGATAGTGTCACACCTTGGCACTCATATAGACACACTTCACTCTTTTCTCTGTGATAGGAATGAAAACTACAATAATTTTGTTGTACAAGTAATACCCACTTTGTTGCTTATGAGGATTTTTAAATAATAGATGGAGGATTGTAATATATTTGGTTATTCTCTGTTGTCTGTATATATTCCTATGGTGTCTGACGCCTTCTGAGTTTGTTTCAGAATTTATAAAGACTGGTAATTACATATTAAATCAAACCTGATTGTAGTTAGACGAACCTCACGAGTGTGTTGCAGATCGCCTTAAACCATTTGCAAAAAAAAATAAAAGATCTAGACGCATTTATAATTCAGCCGGAAAACACACAGAGCAGTCTTCTTACATTTACGGGTTCGTTGCTGACTCATTTTTACTAATCCTGACGTAGGGAATGGTTTCATTGGTTGTTCTTTCCAAGAAAATAACATATTGATTCACAATAACGGGTTTTTATCTCAAGGCACCAAGATACCTGCACTGATCACACTAGATGTTCATGGATATGTCAATTTCAGTATGTTCTTATAAAAAGTATTTTAGTATGTCTTAGAAGCACTACTACTTGATATCCGGGACGGATTGATGCATAAAATGAGCTGTTTCAAGCATGTGGTAAGTGGATGAATAAAGGTGTATTTTTGTGCAATAATTGTAGTTTAGACTTTTCGGGTCATTATACATAATTCGAGGAATACCCATTCTGAGGACTAAGCTGACCTAAACCTGAAGTCCATTTGAAATTTTTAGATTGACTATGTAACCACTTAATTTTCCATTACCGGGACCCCTCATTGAAAGTCCAGCAAAATGTAATATATGCTTCGTTTGATTTCCTGAGACTTTGGATTTTATTAATTGACATACTGTTCTAGCAAGCTAAACTGAATTTTCCTACTGACCCAAAGTAGCATGCTTACTTACGCCTGTTACCCCTCGTGAAGCAGCATAGGCCACACACCATCATCCTCCATCCAACTCTGTCCTGCGCAATCCTTCCCATTTGTTTCCAGTTACTATTCATCCCTTTGACAACTTCTTCCGATTCTCGATTAAGTGTGTTCTTTGGTCTTCCTGCAGGATTCCAATTTTGCGCTTGTCTCATGATGTAGTTTGATGATTTTCTCAGTGTCTTATTGAATTCTAACGTCTTTTCCTAATTTCCTCTCCAGCTGGAAGCTGTTTTGTTGTCTCCCACAGTAGGTTGTTGCTGTTGGTATCCGGCCAACAAACATTGAGTATTTTTCGTAGACAACTGTTTACAAACGCTTGTACTTTTTTAATGATGTTCGTAGTAGTTCTCCAAGTTTCAGTTCCATACAGTAGAACTGTTTTGACGTTCGTATTGAAGATTCTGACTTTGATGTTGGCTTGCAGACAGTTGTTTTGAGTTCCATATGTTCTCCAACTGAAGTGTCTTAAACTTGTTTAATTGCTCTACTTTTGTCTCCTTTCGTCGAAAACTGTCCCGAAGTCTTAACGAGAGCCATCACAACTGGTATTTTGCCTCACTAACGTTGGTCCTTCTCCCCCTGATCTATGACAGTAGATCCATCTAACAAATCAGGGACCCACAATATACCCCAACTTTTAGAAACTCACAAATTTCCTGGCCGTGTTGACTTAATCCATGATCTTCATGAATATAGTGACGAACTTTCGGCTAGGCAAATGACTGAATTGTTTCGGGAGACAGATAGTGTTCCAACACTCTGGAACTAAACGATCATCGTTTTCACCTTTAGGAAAGTTGTACGTATTCTATAGAACAACTACAAGGTTATAAGTATACTTTCGATTACGTTCAAACCATTGGCTTTTGCCATACTTTACCGAAAGCTCATGAAATACTGACTCTCCAGAAGCAGGCTGTTTTCACATCAGGTCATAGGTGTTCTTATCATATATTCGCCCCTCCCCCAATTTTAAAGTGCCCCTACACATCCCAGGCCAATAGTTGTGTTTTTGTATCAAAAGTTAGAAATATCTTAGTAACATTACACAGAGGATAGGTTAGTAAACCGATTTCAGATTTTCTTTCAATCTGTCGATTTTTAATTGTTATAATTTCATAATAGCTATCCGACTAATCAACACAAGAATCTATAAAATTGCAGAATAAATGAAAACGTAGAATAAAAGTTTGATACTTTACACAATGCAATTGAATTTACTGACTAGGTCAGCTAATCATAGCTAAGAACACCGTAATTGTATGATATTCTAAGTAACTAATAATAGTGAATGTGCCACAAGCAATACACATGTTTTCCGATGCTTTAGTGTCATTTAGATGGTTACAGGAGTTTACTTACATACTTTGGGTAAGGTTGGAAACTGTCTTCAATACTAGAGTAGTGTCATTACCAAGCTGGTGAATCACTGTGTATCTCCATCACTGTTGATATACATAAGAATTCATTCTTAATAGGTTCCTGAGTATATCAGGCGTCACAAACCACTAAAACCAACTTTAATTCCAGTCTTTAGGTATGTGAAAGTGTCAATTTTCCGCTCGAAATTTGCAGAGAAACTAGACTACATCCTTAGTAGTCCTAGAAATACTTCTTTCGAAGCACGAATAGAACTAATTTCTTCAAATGAGATAATTCAATATAGGTGTATAGGCATGCTTAACAGATGGTAATACTGAACTAAGTAATAAACAATGTTGCTACGTATCTGACTAAAGTAGAAGTACACCACTCAAATGTTTAAACCGTTTGTGTCGATTGGGTCAAGTGCAACTAATCTGTTAATTTTCCTAGTTAAACTCTTATTCAGACATTCATTGTATAGGGAAATCTGAAATATTAGACTCAAGTTGTTGGTGAGCAAAATACTGCGGTCGGTTACACTGTATGGTACACTTATTTGTGTACTTCACAGGTGCTCACCTTATCGCTGTTATTGTTCTATAGTACAAATTTCGTAGATGTTCTCATCTGACGCATTTATTTTCGATCACATCTGTCAACTGAACGTACCTCGAGAAGCTCGCGATGATTTCATAGTTTACGGTCTCTAATTCTAAAACTAGTACTTCAGTTATTATTTGAATCCTTAATCATTGTCTTCACGTAAGATTTCTTTGATTATCACTTTAATTATCTGTAGATATCGACTGACGAAGGTTAAATTGTGCTTTTAATCCGTTTCAGATTTGCAAAGTAGACCAATAATCTAATATACTTAAGTAAGATCTAGTGTAAGCGTAGCAAATAAAATACTGTGTTCTGAATCATGTAGACTTCTTCATTTTCGAATGTACGCTCCTAACGTAGTTAACGTAATCTAAATTTTATTATTTGAACACAAATATTGGTACAAATAGGGACCGAATACATGTGCACCACACAACTCACTTGATTTATATGTGGGCTGTGATACTGCTCAGGTGATCAGACCGAAATAGGTGGTTTTCTTACGGGGGCTATGCCTGGGACCTTCGACTTAAAGGTTTAATCTACAAGGCAATGGAGCAACGTAAGGAGATGCAGTCCCATGGTGGCCTGTGGCCAATAATTGGCTCATACATCATTTGTTACTTCAGGATCCTGGAGCCCATGCGCACCATTGGTTTTGAGTCAGGGTGTTTCAACTCCCTTATGTGGATCCTCCATATCTACCAACCCGGTTAAGGCGACAGACATTCGCTTTCCGTTCTCTCAACCCCGTAAACAACAATAATCCCGTAAGGAGGCGGTGAGTAGGACTTGCGTGACAGTGGTTGTGTACGTGCGGCCATGTGAGAGCGTTTCGAGGAGAGCGAACTCTCCTCACTTTGGGCCATACCAGGGCATTTTGGAGCAACGTAATCTGAAAAATGTTATGACCCTCTAAGTGCTATAGTGTGACAGTGGGTTAATAGCATTCACTTCATGTCTCAAAATGCCTTCATGCGGCCTCATAGTTACGGTCGCTTCCAGGGGAATCTTTACTACATTCACTTAGCATGGATGTTTTCATTAAAGTGAAAGTCCGAGAAGACGTCTAGCACTGGGACGGTAGATAAAAGGATTCACCTGTAGTTGGAAAATTCCGGTTTTAGATTAACGGTGTGCACGCCCTTTCGATTCTTGAAAGTACTATTGTCGTGTAAACTGATTTTTGGCATCAAATATTGTTGGGTTCAGGGTATATTGGTTAGTAATCTTAGAACTGTCTTGAACGCTGGATACAGCAATTGGAGCAATATTTCAACCCGTCTTATGCAACAACTATACATTTGTGCAGTTTGACTTCCAACTAATAACCCACCCAATGAAAACGATCTACACACGTACTGGGTCCTACGTTGTGTTTGACTGACTAACCTAGGTTCAAAACAAACTAACAGTTGCTGCTACCTTGACGTGGTGGTCGGGTTTGCCTATCGTGATGATACAATCAAGCTTTACTAGCTGGAAGGTCGTTCCTCGAGGTTCTACCATGCCAGACAAGTCTGTTGAACAGCGGTAAGACTAAAAGCAGCAAACTCAAGGACCGAGAGTGAAGTCATACTGCTAACTGTAGACAACCAGCATAACAGAGATGCTGCCTTCCCACAAAGGAAGGTTGGCGTTAAAAAAGGCCGACCCTAAAAATGCACACCTTGCCTTATCCCACGAATATCCGTCTCCGGCGGTAAGGTCTCAACAAGTACGGAGCTAACAGGATAATTACTCACAAAAAGGCCGTAAGTGACCGCCTCAAGCAGCACTGCGGTCTCGCTGTCAGATCAATATGACCGACCCTAACCCAATTTCTTTTCAGTTACCTCTAGAAGAACCCTTCTGTGGTGTGCGCAACCGGGGAGTGAAAACCGCCATCATATCTCTAACAGCACTTAAGACCTCTGACTGAATTCTGAGGCATCACTGCATTCAGATGACTCACTGCCGTCTCTTTCTAGGGCTGGAGGCTAAAATAATTGGCAAACTGATTGTTCCATCGTTTTGAGACGAAGCAATTTATACAACAATGTTGAAGTGTAAGTCTGCTCTATGCTACTTCCAAGCCGTCAACTTCACACTACATAAATTATGAATAGTTTGTGGCAGATTAATTCGTATGAGGAAGGCCAGTTTCTGTTCAGCTTATGGATAAATTAGTCATATCTTCATCCTCCGACGAATGATGAAGCATCGCTGTAGTCATTGGATTTCAACCATCGCTTTATCGTTCTTTATTTCGGACTCCAATTCGTTAAATGGGAGTATGTCTTGGGCTTGTATACTGAGAAAAAGTGTCCCTGAAAAGTTTAACACTTTAAAGGTTTTTTACAAAAATACATTAGTGTGAGAACCCGAAATCAACTGTCTCCATTATTTAAAGTCAGCAGTAGGACTAGAGAGGGTTTCCCGATCTCACCATTTTTCTTTATTTTTACTATGACCTTTTGGAACCATCTATAAAAGATCTGTCACATGGAAAAAGACTTTGAGCACGAGAATAATGTAAGTATAATTTACTACAATTCATCGACTACCCACATTGCACATAATCAGTTGGTAATTGGTGTATGTAGTTATCTATGTGTTTCACACTTTTGAAATGAAGAGTACTCATTCTAAACTTTTAAAAGCTTGTGTCTGAACTCATCGCTTGTGTTGAGTTGCCTTTGGAGGTTAACTCACATTCAGCAGCATCATCATGTAGTTAGAAATATTGTATACAGGCATTGTGATAATAGTTCGTTTGATGTAACCGAACGGAATATGTCTTGTTTACTTCCTTAATCGAACTGTTTTTACTAAGTAATTTCCTTGTTCACTTGTTTATAGATTGTACAACCTTTCTGTCTTCCATTTCTTCTCAGTGTTATCATTTCACTTTGTTTGGAAACCTTTTCAGCGAAAATTTATTAACAGAACATCAGATTTTCAGGATCAAAGGGACGCTAGTTCCATATTATCAGTCCTCTTATTTAGTCATATATATATATATATATATATATATATATATATATATATATATATATATATATATATATATATATATATATATATATATATATATATATATCATTATCGAGTATTGCTTTATCTACATTATCCAACATAAGTATCTTTTTATGTCATTGGTTGTTCCAGAATGAACTATGTGTATCTTCCGGTACAACGGTGTACGCTCATCGTCGGTATCCAAGCCTTCTGATTCAAACATTTCGTGTCTACAATCCTATGGTTAGTCCTATTTTTGTTGTATGATACATTTGTGTTTTAGTATATGTGTTGGTGCGGCCTGATTACAGATCAATGTGATAAAAAGTTAATTATGGCAACGGAATCTTGTCGGCGCTTTTTTACTCTCCATAGATCAGAGTTTGGACATGTATTCCATGTGCGAAACCAGCAATTACCTCAACATGTCATGCTTACTGAAGTACAAATATACAGGGAAATGTTCCAGGATATTAATATCCTGACAGCACCCATCAAGTCTTTGACTTAATGCGAGTTTTGTAAGAGTGCGTAGGTCTTTTAGGTAGTTTTCACAAGCCAATTGAAATAAGTGATTGAAAACTGTGTAGTATGGTTCAAAATAAATACCTTTTACTTATACTTCTAGTTGATCCTGTTTTGAGTTCTGAATATTCTACTATCTTGTTACTTTCATCCGGTTGTTGCATTACTGTGTCATTTTAATTTCTTTGTTTTTCCCTCATGTTGATTCCTCAAATAAGTAGGTGTGCTGTTTAGCATTTTGAACAGATATATGATTGTGTCAGGTCTTATGGTGTCTGTGTCCTTACCACAATATACTTCGTTTAGTATTTTCTCAAGATGTTTTTATGACATACGTTTTTGGAACGAAAGTACATGTCACTGATTCCATGTTAAATGATATGGTGGTTCGTACACATCAAATTGGTTAGATTTAAGAGCTTATTGTTTACTTAGATTAAGAATAATGAACTATAAAATAATGTTTCGACTGTTAATATCAGCAATGGTCTTCTCTTTAGAATCCCATTAGCTAAATTGATTTTCATTTAAAGACTTTTGTGATACAAAGATTAGGTTTTCTCCGTGAGCTTTAGGCTTTATATATCACTTCGGTTTGCTACAGTTCCCAATGCAAAATGAAACTTCTTCATTTAGCAAGTTTAGAAAAATAATTCAAGAATTTGATGAGATCCTTTGATGACGAAGGATACAAAAGGGTTTGAAGAGCACTATCCTTAGCATAAGCTAAGCTATATTTTGCCTTATTTCAATAAACACAACTCAGTTCTCATGTAAATCTAGCTGAAAAGAGTCTGACTAGTTCTTTGGCTCTATGAATGATGTATATATATATATATATGTATGGCCTATTTAGTCTATCATTACTTTAGCCACAAAATTCTGTACACACATGTTTGTGGAAACAAGAATTTCGAATATTGATGATCAGCTGTTTCCTATAAACAAGTTAGTAACACAAAAAATTAATTCAAATCATGAGACAAAGGTAGTTAATGGTGATTATTTTCATATTCTTCTTGTTACCTAGTAACTCCCTAAGGCACCAGATTTATAAATGTAGGCAGATATAGGAACAGGAGTCTTCATCCATCAATTTATACCAGTACATGAAGAGAAAATAATCAAGGAGAATTAATGTCCCGAATGGTTATTTGTTTTTTACATCTTCGTGATTTTCCAAACTATCCTTGACGTAAGAGTTGTTTTTATATGAAAGGTAGCAAGTAAATTGTTACTCAGTGCAAAACGGCAATGCATTTGGCGTTTCGGTCAATGTTTCTGATTCACCATCCTAGTCTGAAAGCTTCGATAATGTAACATTCTAAGATTTCTATGTCTAATTTGAAATGGTTACCTTCCAGGTTTTATTGTGATAGCATAACTTATTCCTCAATTGTACACGTTAATTGTTTGTTATCTATTAAGAAGATTTCTATGTTTGTTCTTTTTAGGACTGGGATAACACTGTCAAAATTGATAAAGGTAACCTAAGGAATTGGACAGAACTTGTTTCGTTACGTTTTATTCGGTAAGTGATATTTATCTGTGATTCATATTTATGTTCCTCGGTTGTAAATATGTTGCATAAAATATGTTACTACACTTATATTAGTTGGTAATTTTATTAGAATGTGAAATAATATCAAACTTTAATGGAACATACATTAGTCAACCTATGGAAACATTGTCAGAGTTTATTCGTGTAGTTCATTCACTTTCGCGTAATGTACCTACATCAGAAAGTTTCTATTTCCTGTCATTATGCTTCTATAGTAGTAATAATAATAATAGTGGTAGTAATCGTCACTTCATTCAGTACCACATGTTATTCGTAGGTTTCTAGTATTCGATCATAGGTGTCTTCGAAGCATTGCTCGTATATCCTGGGACCACTGAGTAAGTAATCCAGTTGTTAGGAAACGGGTACTAGGTAAGGATGGCAAATCAATTGATGAAGTAGTGAAACTTTATCAGTTGAGGTGGCTGGGACATATGTTACGTATGCCCAACCACCGACTGCTCCGACGTGCGATGTTTTATGATGTAGGAGTAGGTTGGAAGAAAGCTAGGGGCGGCCAGACCAAAACATGGCACAAGTCCATGAAATCACTGAAAAGTGGACTGAGTTATGTTGGTAGGTGTAGACTACCTGGTTGAGGACTGCGAGATGATAGCAACCGATGGTTAGAGACCTTAATGACATGGCTCAAAATCGTTTGCAATGGCGCAGGTGCATCCACTCTTTGTGTTCTCCTAAATTCTAATCTTCTGAATTCTTCATGTCCCCTTTTTTTCTTTCCAAATTTATTTCACTGGATTATACTCCTTGAATAACATCTTCAAACCCAATGTTTCCGATTACTGCTTATACTTCTTTTGTGCCCGTTGACCTGACTCCATTTAGAGCGTACGAATGATTGTATGAATGTTTGCTATCGCTGATTCTCGTATATTATCGTCGACTTAAATCGCATTATCCAATAACGGAATTAAATAAGTCGAATAACGAGAATTGACTTGAGAATACATGTATTTCGAATATGAAGCGAATAAAAGAGCAGAGCAAAATGACACGTATGGAAGATGGCTGGGAAGCCAATTCCATTTTAGTCAAGCGTTACTCAATATTTGTAGTCAGACAAAATAAAGATACAGACATGTGATTAATGGAATAAGAAGGGCACACACATATACGCTCATATAAAAACAGTCAAAACTGATAAGCAAATAATTGACAAGGTCAAAATATGGCTCGAGTAGAATGAATAAAATGGGATGTCCGGAAGCTAGAATAAGGTATATGGGCTTGGCATAATAACTGACACTACACTTCTACTACCTCTACCACTACGGAATTTGAATCGACAACTGCATCTCTGTGCTAATGTGGTATGACAACTCGAATTGATGTACGTACGTACGAAGTTCTACGTTGTTGCTGACTGATTGACTGATCGAGTACCACATGTTTAATACTAGATAGGATTACTTACCATAAAGTATTTTAACAAGTTTCTCGTACTCTCAGTTGTAGATATATGTATACGTAGTAGTGGTTGTCATGAGATAGTTTATTCGCTATTTAATCTCATTCTCCAACCCTGCTTTATCTTTTTCGATTATAGTAGCTAGATATTTTTATTTTACATAAAAGTAGCATGACCGTCAGTCAGTAACAACGTAGAACTTCGTAAGTACGTACATCAGTTCGAGTTGCCATTCTACATCAGCACAGAGACCCAGTTATCGATTCGAAACCCGTGGTGGTAGAGGTAGTAAGAGTATAAGCAGTAGTCGAAAACATTAGGGTTTGAAGATGTTATTTATGGAGTATAATACAGTGAAATAAATTTGGAAAGAGAAAAAATAGGGGATAAGAAGAATTCAGAGGATTAGAATTAGGGAGAACACAAAGAGTGGATACACCTGCGCTATTGCGAACGATTTTGAGCATGACTGAATGTATATCGTTTCACTAGATCGTATTATAAATAATTTATATGAGTACTATAATCATATATATATATATATATATATATATATATATATATATATATATATATATTGCAAAAACTATTAAGTAGTCAGAAATTTCGAGTCCTCAAATATTTGTTGATTTTTGATTAAGTAACATTAACTATGGTCTGTCATCAATGACTTATCCATATCAATACTATCTCTTCTAGCAACCAACATTCAGTCAGTCAGTCAGCTACAACGTAGGACCAGGCACATAGATGCATCGGTCCAAGTTGCCATACCTTATTAACACAACAAGATGGACACCGGATTCATAAAATTAGTTAATTTAGTGGTGGTATCATATAAAATGAAGATTGCATATAAGGATATAGTACAGGAAGAAAGAATTAGTTCGTAGAAAGAAAGATATGAAGCGATTTTAATCTCTTAGTTTAAGGGAAGACAGAGAGTGTATACACCGACGTCATTGTGATCGATTCTGAGCCATGTCACCAAGTCTCCAACCATTGGTTACGATAGTCACACGGACCCCAACCAAGTAGTCTGCACCTACCAACATGGCTCAGACTAGAAGTCAGTGACTTCAAGCACTGATGCCGCGTATTGGTTTGGCCGCCCCTAACCCTCTTCCAACCATCTCCAACACCGGTTAGCATTGCACGTCGTGGTAATCGGTGTTCAGGCATACGTAATACGTGGCCCAACCATCTCAGTCGATGAAGATTCACAACCTCATCAACTGATTTACCATCATTCCCTAATACCCTGCATCTAACCTCACTATTACTTACCCGGTTGTCCCGTAGTCAAAATTTATGCAATAGGAAACCTTACATATTTATAGAATCATATTGATGTTTTAATGTTAGTTCCATTTTACTGTTCCATTTAATAATAATAAAACCACTCTTATTATTTCATTAAATTATGCATTGATTTTTTGTGTGGAATACACTCAATATTTACGTAGTCGTCAATATACCCTTTTGACATTTGGTAAAAATAAAGAAGGAACAAATCGAGCAAAGTAATTTCTTATCATCGTAGCCCTACACTAATAATCAATTAATATACTTATCAATTGGATACGTTACGTAATAATTGTATAATGACATATCGATTATAAATTAACATTGAGTAATTGAAAGAAAGGGGATTAATCATAATAATAATAATAATCTAAGTAATTATTCGAGAATCAAGTAGTTGCTACGTTGCATAATATATAAAAGAAGACAGAAGAAGAAACTAACAAGATATTTCGATGAATGGTTAGTGTGTAGTTATATAAGAATCAACAGATGAATGTTGAGAATAAGTAAAATACAAAAAAATGGAAGAGGTACGAAAATAGTTCATTAAAGTTCTATTACAAACTTCGTTATACCGATAGCCAAGGTAGCAAGAGTGGTTCTACAAACTTCTTTTGAATAGAAAAGTTAGATTGGTGAATATGGATTGTAATGAATTTAGCAATGTGCAAAAGATGCACTTGTAAACCATATGATAAATTTGATTGAATATGATAGATAACCTTAAAAACTTTATTCAATTCCATTTTGTTGTGACTTTATGTCCGGCTTTTATCACGTGATTTATCCATTAATCAAAATACGACTTATACTATCTTAGCACTGTGCCAAACCAAAGACGTTCGACTGGTATGGACAGTCTAGCGTCCTTATTGGTCCTATGTTAACCTAGCTTGTCCACTTGAGTCCACAACACCAAATAGCAGCTTCCAATATGCGAATCGAATCGAACTGTTTACTTCGGACATACTGGGTTTATATATCAACCAAACAGACCGCAACGCACCATAAAATAGGAAATAATATTCGTACACAATAAAGCTAAAAAGTGACTGTGAACGAGGGAGGCAGTAGTCAATAAACTGAACATAGCTTAAGAACAGTAAATCGTACAATAATAATATATAGATCAAAATAAAGCTTATAACAAGGGGAATATAGATATACATAATCTAGTTACTGAATAGTTATACAATAAGAATGTATAGATAATATTAGTCAATTAATGTGTCTCAGAAGTTACTCATGATTTAATCTTCGCTCGGATATAACACATTTGATGATCTGTATTCACCAAATGAGCGAGAATAGAACTTTTACTCTGGTAGATAAGAGTGATTTGTTCCTTCTTTATTTACATAGTCATTATGATATAGTAAGATAAGTTAATTAGTCTTGATTTAATTGATCAACAATATCTGGAATATTGTTTCATTTATTATTTATTTTAACACATAGATATTGGTACAAGGAGGCACCAAAAAGATATGCACCACATAAATCATTCGATTTGTGTGATGGCTGTGATACTACCCGGGTGCACAGACCGAAACAGGTGGTTTTCTTAGGGGACTACACCCCGAGCCTTTGACCTAAAGGTCTGATCAACAAGGCAGTGGAGCATCGTCAAGAGATCCAGTCCCATGGTAGCTGGTGACAAATGATTGGTTCATACACCATTTGTTCCTTCAGGATACTGGAGCCAGCCCATGTGCACCATTGATTTGGAATCCGGTTAAAGCGCTGAATATTCGCTTTTCGTCCTCTGAATTTCGTAAACAACACTCCCGCAGCGAGAAGGCAGTGAGTAGGACTTCTCTGGCATAGGCTGTGTACGCGTGGCCGTGTGAGAGCATTTTGAGAGGGAAGATGGGCCCACCCCACTCTCGGCCATACCAGGGCATTCGGAGGCCTGGAATACTGATCAAGAAACTATCAATGTTAAAGTACTCTATGTAGTTAAGTTTCATTTCATATGAATGACTCGATTCATCATCTTGGTTATCTACTAATAATCTCGTTCTTTATCCTTTTCTTTTTTCTGTAAAATTTTCCTTTTGTTCATGAATTGAATAGACTTCAACAAAAAAGTGAATTAAAGAATCATGCTACAGAAGAAGTCACATATCAAATTGCTTGTGGATTAATACATTTACCTATATCAGATAATTTTAAAACAAATGATTATAATCCAATTATAGCAAAAGTATTAGTAGTTGTTGTATATGAGCCAGTATTTCCAGAAAATCTAACTGTTTTATCTGGATCGTAAGTTATTTGTTTGTTTGTTTTTTAATACTTTTAAAGTTTATTAAATCCTCTTTCTTTCTGGTGGTCGACTGGATTATGAAGACCTCGACATCTGAGGGAAAACACGGAATACAATGAACAGCTCAGAATCAATTAGACGATTTGGACTTCGCAGATGACCTAGCCCTCCTATCGCATACACACGAACAAATTCAGATAAAGACAGCCAGTGTAGCAGCAGTCTCTGCATCAGTAGGCCTCAACATACATAAGGGGAAAACCAAGGTCCTCAAATTCAAAGCGGAGAACAGCAATCCAATCACTCTTGATGGCGGAACTCTGGAAGATGTAGAATCCTTCACATACCTGTGAAGCATCATCGATGAACAAGGAGGATCAGGTGCAGACGTAAAGACAAGGATTGGCAAAGCAAGAGTCGCATTCCTTCAGTTGAAGAACATATGGAACTCAAAACAACTTTCAACCAATATCAAAGTGAGAATCTTCAATACGAACGTCGATGCAGTTATGCTGTACGGAGCTGAAACTTGGAGAACTACTACAATGATCATCAAGAAGATGCAAGTATTTATAAATAGTTGTCTACGCAAGATACTCAACATCCATTGGCCGGACACCATCAGCAACAGCCTTCTGTGGGAGAGGACAAACCAGCTTCCAGCTGAAGTGGAAATTCGGAGAAGACGATGAAAATGGATAGGATATACATTGAGGAAATCATCAATCTGCATCACGAGGCAAGCCCCAACTTGGAATCGTGAAGGGAAGGTGAAAAGAGGAAGGTCAAAGAACACAGTACATCGAGAAATAGAAGCAGATATGAAAAGGATTAATAGGAACTGGAAGGAGCTGGAAGGGATTGCCCAGTACAGGGTTGGATGGAGAATGCTGGTGAGAGGCCTATGCTCCTTCACCAGGAGTAACAGGCGTATGCAAGTAAGTAAGTAAAGTTTATTAAAGTATCTTCACTCATAATATCTGTAGAAACTTATTATACTCAAATCATTTTGTATCAGATTTCATGTACAAAATATCAAATACTTTTCTCAGTATAATCAATGTATTTTCATGAAAAGGACAATATTAAATTGTGATATGTTTCGGTCAAACCAGCTTATAAACACCTTTGCTTATCCTTGATACCGGTTTCAGTTAGGACTTTTGTTAGTCCTAGCTAAAATCATACACTTCTCTAGAATTTTCTTCCTTCATTAAAAAGCTAACAGTATTTTGAATCATTTTGACACACCATTTAAATATCTGAAGCTCTAAAATGTATTTTAGAGTGTGATTTCGGATTACCAAGGATAGAATTTCGTAAGATAGAATAATTAGCATTAGTTGTACGTGAAAAAATATATGTAGCCAGAGAAGAAGGAGATGATAATAGGAATAAATAAGCATTTAGGAATAAATATGGATTTTCGCTCTGTACACAATCAACTTGATTGTTGTTAGAGGTATGTGTGTGCAGTTAAAGAAATTTTCTTCTTGAGCGACTTCCAAAATAAAACTGGGTTAGTAGTGATCTTAAACACATAAGAGCGTGGCCGCAGAGGTCAAGGGTTTGTTGTTGCTACATTGATGTGGTGGTTGGGCTTGCCTATCGTGATGAAGCAACTGAGATACACTAGCTGGAACAACGGTTCCTCAAGGTCCTACTATAAGTATTATTATTATAAGTTTGGTTATTGTGTACGCAAAGTCTCCCATTCTAGAATTATGCTTCCAGTTATGTTAAACATTCGGAGAGCAATTTTGTCATCTCATACCATTAAAATAAAAAATCAGTAACCAATAAACAACTAGATAACCAGTCAGTGACGTTAAGTTCCCTTGTCATTCTGTACCTTATCTAGCAGTTACTGGTTTATGTATCCAACTCTGAACTACACTTTTTGTTCAAGAGCTAGTAACACTACCCGGTGGAGAGCTATTCGGACTGTCAATCTTTTGCTTTAGAGTTCAATGCTTTAAAAAATATGCCACTGCTTCATACCTGTATCAAAGGCATACAAGTTTGCCAATTATGCATTAGGAATGAATTGAGAATAGTTGTTATGTGGTCAACTTCATAACAGTTAATCGATTATATATAGATAATAGATCGATAAATAGAGGTCAAGTATGTTTACACACAGCTTTTATAACCTTGACTTTGGTTCTTGTGTAGAAGCTTTAAACTATGTTAGATTTATTTCCGTCTTACACAGATTGCAAGTATCTCTATCCTTGAAAATACTAAAAATAAATTAAAGCCAAATATTCAGATTTGAACTTAGATACTAAATTGCTCTGAATTTAATTACTTAATCATAAGACCTAACCATATATTGATACACTGTACTAATCAGTCAGTGGGACAAGAAATGACTTTAATTTCAAAGGGATGAAACACACTATTAGTGGTTTAGTTTTATGAGGGATATGTATATATGTGTAAACATACATGTCAATTCACTTTAGCCAATAAACTTCCATTCTCAATCTCAATCATTTCACTTGAGTAACCAGTTGAATTCGTAAACATAAAGATTACGTATCAGTATCGACTCTTAAACATTTCACGTCACAACAGTTTTCTAGTGATGAACTTCCAGTGCAATATGTGGAAATGAATTCAATAACATCAATTTCGCAAGCGTAGTTTAAAAGTATCTTACAGTAGTAACAGCAGAAGAAGTTTCAAGCACCATAATTAAAATCGATTAAGTTAATGGCTAAAAATTTCTAGATTCAAAAGAATTCAGTACAGATATCTGCGTCACTGGGATCAATTAATGAATTCTTAATTAATTTAATAAGTTTCATTTTAATACAAATACAGATGTCACATTTAAATCCTAATTCGACCGATATCAAGACATTTTCAGAGCTGATTTTTCACATCATGATTATTGTTCCTCAAGGAATCAAATTCTTCTTCAGAATCTCAAAGCAGTTAAAGATGAAAAATATTCCAATCTCATTTTTCTCTTGGTGGCACTGTAAGAAAATTAACCTAAATATTTACCATTGTGACTTTATTGGTTAATTTGTGATATAATTGTTTGAAGGTTGTTAAATTACTTGAAGATGATTTCGTTTCATATGTTGCTCATTGACTACAAATGGAATTTAAATAGATGAAGAGCTACAACAAGGTATTGGCCACACCTGATTTATCAAACAACTCAAGCATCGCATATTTTTCGAAAGAGAGGGAGATTGTGTGGGTGTGCCCCCCCCCCTCCGCCATCTCAACGCCTTCAGCTAAACCTTAGAAATCAGACTTATTTTCACGTGGGAAAATTGATACATTCAACCAGTCATGAAAAGAGATTTATATCAACTCTTTTCAACCATCTGCCATAAGTAGGCGCTGGTAGTGTCTAATACGCCATTAAGACCTCTGCAATTCAACCATCTGGTTCAAAAACACATCGTTGAAATTAGTGACCTGAGCTTCAATTCTTCCTCCATCATTTTGTAATTGTACCAATTTAACCTTATTCTAGTTAATATAATTTAAAAGATACGTTCCATAAACAATAGTTCATATCTTGTGTAATAATCACTTTATCAAATCAAATATATACTCGAAAGCTATATTTATATTCTTAATTCTATCATTATAGGGTTGTGGAGGCTATCGAGTTTTTGATTGAGATCATGAACTGATTGATGTAAAACCGCCATTGAAAATCTGGAAGCACTGGATGGCCGCTTCGTCCTATTGTGGGACTCCTCAACAGTGCGCATTCACGATCCCACGGTCGCGCAATTTCGCGGGTTGGTTAAGATGAGACATTAACATTATTAGATGCCAACTCAGTGGTCTAGACTGAAGGTCCTGGGTTTGAACCCCGCGAGCGGGATCGTGGATGCGCATTTCTGAGGAGTCCCACAATAGGACGAACGGCCGTCCAGTGCTTCCAGGTTTTCAGTGGTGTTCTAACGTCAATCAGTTCATGATCTCAAACAAAAATCTTATTTGTATATTACACGACGCAGAAAAGGCACTAATAGTCATATGCGCTCACATCACAGTTTATATACGTATTTAGACTTAATAGGAATGGGTGACAGTCTGCCTTGCCAATTAGTGATTGGCAATTAAAACTTAGCAGTTCAGGAATCGGCATCTGATTAATGTTCTTTCTTTTCAATACATATTGTTAGCCATCATGATATATTCAATCGTATTTCTTTGTACCTTGTGAAGCAATAGGTCTTAAAACTTTCATAAATGCGCCTGAGCAGTTTATGCGATTAAGAGACATAATACAAAAGATAACTTATTGGAAAATTTAAATGGCAGGAATAGGTAGCACAGTTATTCAAGCAGACCGCCTTCTAGCTGGACTTCACTTAAGACTAGCATTTTCCAAAGAAATAGCAGGATGTCGATTGTTTATCTATTCTGATCTTCATAGTTTTTCGCTGCGAGATAGATTCATGCTTTTTTGTTGTATGGAATTCATCTTTTTTATATGTGAAAATTATATTTGAAATATTCTTAGCGATTGAAATATAACTAATTCCAACGTTTCGTCCAGCTAACTTGTCTGGACTTCTTCAGGGTAATAATCAAAATCAAAATTATCGAAACGTTGGAATTAGTTATATTTCAATCGCTGAGAATATTTCAAATATAATTTTCACATATAATGACTTCTCTATACTCAGCGCTCAATTACTGTCAAACTATTCGTTCTAATCTTGACGAATATTCATCTTTTTTGTTTCACTATTATTTCATTAGCCTACTGAAATTAATTAAAGTAGTATAAAGTATCAAAAATCACTTTCTAAAACATTCAACGCTTTGAAATTTTAAATTCGTTTTGTATTGTTTATTTGAGTCTTCTCATTGATGGTAAGGATTGCAATTAATCAATCTTTTATTGGTATATGCACATCCTGTGCGTATTGCTGCGATATCGCTTTAATTCACACGCACTATAAGCAAAGATAGAGGATGGTATCCAGGACGTATGTTTTGTCTCCCATCTTGATCTAATTTTTGATCCCATATTCGTCCATGATTTTTCTGACTGGTTAATATATGAAGTCGATTTCCATGTGTACATCGACTGCTGATTGATCTAAGTATCGAGCTTCTGAAATCCTTTGATAAACTCGGAAAATTTAAAATCTGGATATCAATTCCGGATCTTCAAAAAAGGGGAGGTGTGTTAGGTCCCGATAGGCATAATGAATGGTAACTTTGGGATCCATTTATGGACCAATACTTAACGCATATTTTTATCGTATAATTGTTAAACAACTAAACTATTCATATTCCTCTTATTATAAGCTTTATTTTGACCTATGACCCATTATTATACGTTTTCCATTCTCTAATCATGCCCTGTCTATTAGTCACTGCCTCCCACATTCACAGCCACATTTGGCCAAATTCCGTACAAATGTTATTTTCTATTTTATGGTACGTTGTGGTCTGTTTGATTGGTATATAAACCGAGTATATATGAAATATAATGATTCATATCTCAGAGGCTGAGATTGATGTGCTGGACTTAACTGGCTGGGCTAGACAGAAATCGGGACCAATCAGGACTCTAGACTGCTCATACGGGTTTACGCGTCATTGATCCAATCGATGAGTCACTGCTCTCTGATTTGCGGTATCGTTACACTATACATTAACAAGGCACACAATCCACAAGTTGTAACATACTGTAAACTGATCGACAAGTCATATGAGTGTTTCATCTGTCATTGGCCATTTGATTTTTGTATTTTCAAAAATTCCTCATTGATTTATCACTGATTATTATCATCATTTTAATCCATTCCTTTATACAGAGCCCAGTCATATACTTTTATTACTGGTATCCGGATATCAGATCAACCAATATTGATTACAGAGCATGATTTAATTCAATTTAAATCAGATCTTGGTCATTTGGCCAAAGAACGAACACGACTGGAATCGTTAATTTCATCTGAATTAATGTTTGCCTTGAGTTATCCAGAAAGTGAATTACGTAAAGAGCATACTGATGCTTGGAATTTCGTAAGTTTATTCTGATAACAATGATAATTTTATAGAAAAATTAAACCATTTTTCAATATCAATGATGAAAATGTTTATTTTAATTATTTATTTGAACATATAAATATTGGTACAAGCGGGCACCAGATATATATGCGCCACACAAAACAATGAGAATGGGAGGAGAAAATGAAGGTAAGGTGCGTAAATGGAAAAAAAGAACAATAACGATCACAGATTACTGGGTGGTGGTGTAGTAATAATGATAATGGGGGAAACAGATAGGAACAACCAGAAGAATTCTTTCAGTTAAGGAAGTCACAACCACCTTTTATGAAGAAAGTAGAAGAAGGTTACAGCAGGATCTCCACTGGCTTCTATTCTGAGCCATATCTGATAATATCTCTAGCCACTGTGTTGCACGATCTCTCGGGCCCTCAAATGCCTTGGTACGGCCGAGGGAGGGGAAGGTCAGCTCTCTCTCTCTCTCGAAATACTCTCACATGGTCATGCGTATACAGCCACTATTAGGGAAGTCCTACCCACTGCCTTCTCTCGGCATTACTGTTGTTTACGGATTTGAGACGACGAAAAGCGAATGGCCAGCGCTTGAATCGGGTTGGTGAACACGGAGTCCACCTAGAAGAGTTGGAAAACCCTGATTCCAAACCAATGGTGCACATGGACTCCAGGATTCTGAGTGAAAAAATGGCGTACGTACCGATCGTTTGTCACTGGCTACCATGGGACTGCATCTCCTGACGTTGTTCCACTTCCTCCCAGACCTTTAGGTCGAAGTCTAGGGGTTTAGCTTCCTTAAGAAAACCACCTGCTTCATTCTCGGCACCCGGGAAGTATCACAGCTCACACACAAATCAAATGATTAAGGCTTGTATAGTAAGAAAACCAGTTTTAGAAATGTAGGTTAAAAGCAGAGTTATTGGAAAAAGAGCATATAACAGTGTTTAATAAAATTGCCAAACTAGTGATAACTACTATTAAATTTTAACGTACTGACTAGTTTACTTGGAGAATGTGAATGGCTCGTTCGACATATATACCACCAACTGTTGTCAACTTTGTATCAAAATGAAGATATTTCATCTAGTCACCAGTTTTCTCAACCTTGATATTATGAGATATTGCGATGGAAATGTGAGTATATGTTTAAATTGAATGTATTTAGTTATTCAAGTGGATAACTGAATGGTCCGCCTGAAGCTTATATTCAGAGATTTAGGCAGGAAGCTGTATCTTCTGAAGTAGTTTTCTGTGTTACGTATTTCAGCTAGCCGTCTATCCTTACGTGTGATGCTGATCAGAATAATGCTAACTCTTTTAAACGAACGCTAGATCCGGTTATTAAGCTGTTCTGGTAATCCCGATCTAAATCTACTCAGCTACTTGTACACGAGAAAAAAGGCATGAAATATGGAAGAAACGCTTTACTCCAAAAGTTTGTTTATCTACAGAAAATCTAAGATTTTATTCTATTTTAGATGGTCTTGGGTTTCTGGAAAATTCAGAGACGCTACTAAACATACTAGCAGTATATGTAATCATTCAATCAGAAAATCGACTTGTGACTTTTCACTTTCTAGATGTTTCTGGCAAAAAAACTTCTAGTGAATGCTGATTGGATAAGATGCTTCTTAGTGTTTTCAGAGCCTTTGTTGGCTTTTTTCGAGGAGATTTCTGGATATCCTCAACAAATAGTATTAGGGTTTTGGAGAGTAATTCCTAACGATTTTTCGACTAGTATTTAATGTTAACTCATAAAATCACTAGTTGTTTGTAAAAGCCACAAAAGGGAGTAGGTATCCGTTAAATTCACTCAAGGATTCGGATCGAACAACTGAAGCACACATAGAATCTCAAATTGAATCAATGAGTTTTTTTCGTGGGATGGTACTGTTATTAATGACAACATAAGTAATATACCTTACAAATCTAATAAGTGAGTTATCTAAAAGGTTTGCGTGGTTCAAGATAAGATCAAAGCAGAAGAGCCTGCCACAATACTTATTATTTATCAAGACATACGTAACAGACGGTAGTTCTTTAATCCAGTAATGACATCCGACAAATCAAAACGAGAACTATAGACATAAAGTACGAAATTTGTTACGAACAAACAAGTGTTTAATGAGTGCACAATCAATAAGGATGAATGTTAAGAACATCAGGACAACACAATTACAAATATAATCAAATTATATGTTACGGATTTTTCTGGTTGGCGTTCTTTTAGTGAGTTACATATGCAAAGGGAAAAGCAAGATTCTCCGATACAACACAGCATGCCCCTATCGAACCGCACTTGACGTAGATTTGGAAGATGTAAAAACCTTTACATATCTGAGCAGCATCATTGATTAACACGGTGGCTCTAATGTAGATATGAAGGCGCGGATCGGCAAAGCAAGAACAGCATATCTACAACTAAAGAACATCTCAACTCAAAACAACTGTCTGTCAACCAACACCAAAGTCAGAATTTTCAATACAAATGTCAAAACAGTTTTACCGTGTGGGGCGGAAACTTGGAGAACTACTAAAGCCATCATCCAGAAGATACAAGTGTTTATTAACAGTTGTCTACGCAAAATACTTCGGATCCGTTGGCCGGACACTATCAGCAACAACCTACTGTGGGAGAGAAGAAACCAGATTCCAGCGGATGAAAAAATCAGGAAGAAACGCTGGAAGTGGATAGGATACACGTTGAGAAAAGCACCCAACTGTATCACAAGGTAGGCCCCCATTTGGAATCCTCAACATCGAAGGAGAAGTGGAAGACCAACGAACACATTACACAAAGAAATGGATACAGACATGAGAAGAATTAACAACAATTGGATAGAACTAGAAAGGAAGGTGGGGGACAGATTGCGTCGGAGAATGCTGGTCGGTGACCTATGCTCCACTAGGAGTAACAGGCGTAAGTAATATGTTACAAATTCTTGGGAAGACTTAGAAATTCAACACATTTTGATGAAGAGTTAAATGTTGTTGAATGATAATGTTATTAGTTACTGGTTATTAATAAGATAATATAATACCCTAAAAGGGGCCAGTTAAAAAAGTGTTATAACAAGAACTTATATTATTGATATACCGCGTATAACTTGAGTACTAGAACGCTAGAACCCTTCCAAGTCGCAATGAAAAGACAGAAGTCTAGTAAAAGGAATGTTATTCCAGACAATGTCAAATTATAGTACAAAACTGCCAGGTATTTATAGTTTTTAGTAAAAACGAAATCATCATTATAGCTATCCAATCCGCACACAGGAGGTTATTGGCATTGTCTAATCGGGAAGCTACATGTAGAGATTCTAGAATATTCTTCCAAAAGATGGTTGGATGGAATATCTTCGGCTTCTTCTGAGCTTCTTACAGGTTCCTCGAGTTCATCCGTGGACTGTTCTCACAAAAAGTATTAAAATAGGGAAGGACTAAATACATGTTAACCTATAGGCGAAAAATTATGACTTAGTAGTTACCTATTTTTTGTGATTCGGTACACAATCGATCAAATTATCTTGAATGTTTCTACTTTTTCCTCCTTTTATTTTATTTTTGTGAATGTTTTACTGCTTTTCATTAGTTTTCTCTGTACTCATGTCTTTCGTATTAAAATCACCCAGTAATGTTAATTAGCATACACAGTAGTTCTACAAATCTCTAGTGTATTTTTTTTTATTCTTTGTCACTTATAAATAAATACCCTCGTGAATTGCTAGTCTTTCAATCAGTGTTTATCAATTGTCAATTATACGTAACATTAGGACCTTACACGTATGGTCATCAGTTCAAGTTATCATGCCCCATTTTAAAAAAAACAACGGGAAATTGTCAAACAAATTATAGTGATAGATATAGTAATATTATCAGTGGTAATATAAAAGGTTATACATAAAAGATATGATTCGAAAAGAAAATATAGATTAGCGGAATAAAATAGGATTCAAATAGGTAGAATCTAAGGGAAGATTAAGAGTGAATACATCTGCGCCGTCGTAAATGATTCCGCGCGATTACGCTTAATGTCTCTCTCGCTTTGGCGGCCTTCTTAAACATCTTGACTAATTGTCCCTGCCATCTTGATATTTCAACAAGTTATCTGTCTTTTGCTTGTTTCATAAGATCACTATCTCAATTCAGATGCGTTTGTGAAAAGTGTATAACCTTTCGTTGTACAAGTTACAAAAGAGCCCAATCAGAGATATCGTGGTTGCTGGGAATATGCAGCGAAAAGAATGTACATTATTCAAATGTCGACTGACTATCTGGCGATCATTCAATATTTATCGTCAGGATCGACCAATAAGTAAGAAACGGAAACTTGTTGAAATACTTTGTGCTACGAATTCCATATTGTACCAAAAATATAATATTGAATAAAGCTAATAATAATAACCACTGGTTACGATGATCCCCTGGTCTGCAACCAGGTAGTCTGTACCTCAGTGCACAGCTCAGTCCAACAGTTAATGGCTTCATGGACTGATATCATATTTTGAAATCACTCTTATTGTCTATCGTAGTTTAAAGTGTTACCTGACTTCAAAAGTGGAGTAGGTGAGGTAGATTTCAGATTTGTGTGAAGAAAAAAAAACAGTGAATAAATTCATCCCCGTTACCTCGATCCATTTCGGCCGTCCCAGTTAAAGCTTCAAATCATAGATAAGATTATAACTTGGGGTTCATTTAGGAAGTTTAAAGCCATGAATTACGTGAATTGACTCCATGTTTTGATTTCCCCATCCTTATTTTTTCTCCTCTATCCCCCAACATTGACCGTTGAAGTTTAGGTAACTAGACAAGCATGAAAATATGACTGATTGGTTAAGACGTTCAACTTTCAACTACTAAGTCCTAAGTCGTAATCTCTCTACCTACTTCAGTTTGAACGACCGGGTGTTATCACTGACCGTCCGTAACTGACAAATGATTTAAAGTGAATAGCATATTTCCGAGATACTTCAGTCGATTAGGGTCCGTAAGTTCATCAGTCGACCATTTCTATGTAAAATCATACGACTAATTTCCATGTATACTCATGTGCTATTCGATAGCGTTAAGGGCGGCTCATAGTGATTTCTGTTGTTTCAGATTTCATCATTTTCCTGTCGACCTCGTTTGGAACATACATGTTCAATAACTTGATTATTTTCAACGGCTTATCACTGATGGTGAATGCATGAAGAATCTCTTAGTGGTCATATAGACATACTCTAAGCTTCAATAGACCAAGGTTTCTATGATAAATAAGGACATAAACAGTAAGTTGATCGATTGATTAGAATGGTTGATGTTACCATTTAATAATATGACATAAACTGAATATCTGACATCGAAAATTCTTTGTCTGTATTAAGCCTATATCAACAATACATTCTTCAACTTTATTAAACTAGAAACGGGATCTTCGGTGTATTCGTTATCCCAAAATTTCTTAGTGTTTAAAGTTAGATTTACAGAGTTTATAACTTTAAAATATATTCTAGTGAATATCTGTAAACATTAAGGAGGTGTAGAAAGGATTTGATCGTGACCAACTTGGTCTCGTGTGCTGTTACGGGTATGAGGGCCGATATCACTTCCTGGCTGCCCACACCGGAAGTGTATTTCTTGAGGAACCTGGAAAGGAAGATGGATTAATGTTGGTCTTAACAACCTGGGAGCATGACCGCAGAGCCCAAGGGACAACTTCTTGAGGCCGGTCACTCACGGCCTTTTCGTGGAAGGTTTTTTAACGTGTTAGCTCCGTTCTTCAAAGGGCCTTACCTCCGGAGACGGAAACTCGTAAGGTGAGGCGTGAAATTTTTAGGGTCGGCCCTTCTTAACCCCCTCCTTCCTTGTAAGAAGGCTGCATCGCTGCAGATGCTGGTTGTCTTAGGGAAACATGTTACTGCTGTCACACCCCTCTACAGTCAGCAATCCGACTTCGCCCTCAGACCTTGAGTTGTTGCTTTTAGTCTTATCGTTCTCCAATCGACCTGCCTGGCATGGTAGAACCCACAGGAACATATGTTCCAGCCAATATAGCTCGGTTGGGTCATCACGATAGGCAAGCCCGACCACCACATCAAAGTAGCCGCTGCGGTCGGGTGTAAACATTAAACTACTCACAACTATTCTACAGTCAATTTGAGTTGATGGGTTAGTGATAACACCTCAATATTTATTAATAATTATGATATAAACTTAACAGGACCTGGTAGGTTCGTAAATATCGCTACCGTGATGTATTTTTCTATATTCAATGACTTTTCATCAAATTTATTCCTTCCATTAATTCAATATTAAACTATAACAGGTTACTCTTTTTTTTCTCAATTTTGTAATTGTCTCAACATGGTTACAAAGTGTTGCCATGAATTTACCTTTGTGTTTTGTTGTTATGACATTACAAATATAAAATCCTATTCATGAAAGATTCATTACTGTTGTTATTTCATAATAATGGATCATACTTTAAACAACATAAACATTAATCTGAATGGGCAAGTGTTTTTTAAGTTTTGTAAAGATTTTTCTGAAACATTCCCATCAGAATGAGAAGTATAATTGTATTGATTAAATTATATAAGGTTAAACAATGAAATTCTCATCTATCTATTTATCATATAATAAGCGAATGTCCGGCGCTTTAACCGGATCCCAAACCAGTGGTGCACATAGGCTCCAATATCGTGTGGGAACAAATGACGTATGAACCAATTGTTGGTCACCGGCTTCCATGGGACTGCATCTCCTCACGATGATCCACTGCCTTGTGGATCAGACCTTAAGGTCAAAAGCTCGGGGTGTGGCCTCCTAAGAAAACCATCTGCTTCGGTCTGGGCACCCGGGCAGTATCACTGCCCACACACACAAATATGGTGTGGCGCATATATATTTGGTGCCCTCTTGTACCAATATTTATGTGTTCAAATAAATAAATTTAACTATATACTTCATTCTATTGTTTTATTAGTTATGGACATCAGGAATAACTATTAGTCATTCCTATGCTCCTGGAGCTGTCAATGCAAAAGATATCAATACAACATTATATTACATTGCATCAAATAGTCCAGATTTATTATCAACTCAATCATCAATGATGAATAATTCAACTATAAATGAGTATAAAGTTCGATATAAAGATTATAATCAGTGTTTTCGAGGGACGTATACTTGTGAGTTTTACTTTTCTTTTTTTTTGAAAAATTAACATTGTTACTTTTGTATTTATGACTTAATAAACAACCATCCACCAAAGGTTTAAAAAAATCAATACTGGCTCAGTAGGTTACCTATCTTGTACTTTCTAGGTGGTGGTATAACTTAGTAACTATGTTCATTATGACTCTAGATATCAGTAGTACAATGTTTAATGCTTACGAGTGGGTTTTTTTTTAAAACTTTATCTTAAGTATTTGACTAGTAAAATGACTTCCTAATGTAAGCAATATAGCTCATAGTTCACTAATAAAATGGTATATAAAGTGAAGACGTTACACTGTGTAAGTTAAATACCTTCCTATCATTAAGGTATGGGTTTACTGATCTATATTTCAGTAGATAAGAATGCCTTTTCCGTCACTGATTAAACATATCTTCATGTCTATTTTTTTAGTAGTTTAATCCATTATTGTGTTCTTTATCTAATGATATGAATTGTTTTTATAAGCAAGGATGAATAGTAGCTAACAGTGGAATCCAGGATGCGCGTTCCGTCCCATTAATCGGCTATAAGGACTCAGTAGCTAAATGGATAAGGCGATGGTGTTTGAAGCGAGTGGTAATGGCTTCGAGTCTCGTAGTGGATATTAACCAGTACCGGCGTCGGCAAATAGTGCACAACGTGGAATTCTGTGGGACGACATTCGTAGAATATGCACAAGCCACCGAAATCGGTGTTTCAAGATGGTAACACCAATTGAATTATCATCTCTGTCCCCCAACACACGATGCTGAACCTCTGCATTACTAACATGGTGTTGCCACTGAATGTCAGCAATCCTTCGGAGACAGCGATGATCGAACACAGAGAGTCGTCTAACATCCTCAACTCGTAGAGGCCAGGTTTCACAAGCATAGAGCAAAACTGCTCTCACCGACGCGTTGTAGATCCGACCTTTTACAGCCAGACTAACGTCACGAAGGCGCCAAAGGTGGCCCAGATTGGCATAAGCCGCTCTGGCTTTCACTATACGTGCATTGATCTCATCACTCACACCCCCACCAGCACTTATGCAGCTACCCAGATACACGAACTTCTCGACTACGTCTATCTGCTCACCATCCAGAGTGAGTACAGGATTAGAATCCTGCCAATCTTGTAGAAGTACTTTGCACTTCGAAGGTGCAATGCACATACCATACCTACGGACACTGATTGCCAACTGATTAAGTGCGGATTGCATGCCTTGGGCATTATCGCACAGTAAGACAATATCGTCCGCATACTCAAGGTCGAGAAGTCTTTCTCCAGGCAACAGATCCACACCACCATTACTTACATCCATCAGAGCTGTTTCCAGAATGTCATCGATGGCAAAGTTGAAGAGGAATGGTGAGATTGGGCAACCCTGCCTAACCCCACTGCTCGAATGGAACAATGGAGAGAGGTGGTTGTATGCCCTCACTCTGTCTGAGGTGTTTGTATATAGGACTTTTAGGATGTTAATAAACTCAGGCACACCCTTCTTCAATAGACAATCCCAGAGAACAGTCCTGTCCAACGAATCGAAGGCAGCCCTGATGTCAGGAAACACTACGATTGTTGGCCTTTGATAAGTATGGCGGTGTTCTAACATTTGGCGGAGGGTGAAGATATGATCAATACATCCTCGACCAGAACGAAACCCAGCCTGCTCCTCGCGAGTCAATCTTTCTAGGGTTTTGAACAACCTACGAAGTATGACGGAAGCCAATAGCTTGGACGCAATCGGAAGTAGACTTATCCCCCGATAGTTGTTGCAGGAACGACGTGAACCCTTTTTAAAGATAGGGACAACTATCGACTCATTCCATGACGTTGGTACACTCTCTAACACCCAAACCTTTGTAAACAATGTCGTCGATTCCTTAGTCAGAAAGTCACCACCATCTTTAAAATGAGCCAGAGGTAAGTCATCTGGGCCAGGTGATTTTTAGCGCTTCAAGAGTTGGAGTTCCTTGCGGACTTCCGCCTCATTTGGTGGATCAGTCGTCACCGGCCATGGAGGTCAGGACAGTCTGACCGATGTTGCCGGAGCAACAGGCCAGTTGAACTGCCCTTCGAAAAATTCTGCCCACCGTCCAAGACGTCGATGGATGTTAGTGATTGGTATCCCATCATCCTCGTAGGTTGTTTCGCTCACACCAGACTTCTTGCTACCAGTGGCTCGGATGAGTTGGAAGAGCTTCCGGTAGTTACCAGATGCAGCTGCTGCTTCCAGCTCATTAGCACGCTCCGACTACCAGGCTTCTCGGTCCTTACGCAAGCTTTGCCCAATTTCATTGCGTAAAATCCTTCGTTTGGGGTTAAACTCATGGTCACCCGGAGTAGACCGACAGGCTCCAATCAGTTGTAAAGAACCCGAAGAAACCCAGTGCTTATAAGCGGGACGTTTCGCGAACCCACAACTGACTGTACCCGCCATTTTCATGGCGTCATGCAGTCGCAACCAATGCTCATCTATACTTTTCGGTGGAATGGTAGCTAGCCTAGAAACTAGCTCGGTTCGATATTTACTAGCAACAGAAGTTGCAACCAGCTTGCTAATATCAATCCGTTGATGGCGGTCACTTCATTGTCCACTGAAAAGTAAGGCAAGATTGGCGCAGACCAAGGCATGGTCAGAGTCCAGATAGGTACTCCAAAAGGAGCGGCAGTCTTGTACACAACCACGCCAGTGGTAGCTGATCGCGATGTGATCAATCTGAGTCCAGGCTTGAGATGCAGAGGGAGGACGCCAGGTGGCACATCGGCGATGACTGTGCCGAAAGTTAGTGCTAGCCAGAAACAGGTTGTGGTTTGTGCACAGTTGCAGTAGACGGTCCCCGTTATCTGACCTGCGACCAACGAGTCCCCATCGGCCACCTAAACGACTCTCTTCTGTGCCTAGACGCCCGACCTGAGCATTCAAGTCTCCGGCTAGTACTACAATATCTGTCGAACGCACTTTCTGGAGAATAACGGTTAACTGGTGGTAGAATTCATCCTTGATTGCATCCGGGCTGCAATCTATCGGGGCATAGGCGGAGATGACGAGAAGACATCGTTTCTCACGCCGATTTCTTCTCACTTTGATGGAACTCTCTAATCTAACAGCACATAACCGACTGTTAATGGGGATCCAATCGATTAGTGCTGCCTCAGCTCTAGCGCTTAGTGCGACACCAACGCCAGCAAGACCAGACGAAGATGTCACAGGGTCCCCGGATAAGCGCAGGTAAAACAAGGTTTTTGAAGCGACAGATTGAGAGCGAATTTGTAGTACTTCGCCAGAGTCTTGAATACGGGTCTCGGATAGACAGCAAACGTCGATATTAAGACTTTCCAAAGACAAGCCAGCCCTATCTGTTGTCCGACCTGCATAAGTGTGCAAACGTTGAAGGCAGCCAGTTTGAATGGTGCACGTGGTTTCAGAAAAACTGCCTCATTACTCATATTCAGTGGAAACATACAATTTTCAACCGGACAGTGACTCTAGAACGTTTAGATAGAACCGAGTTTCCACCATAGACGTGCTGCTGTATAAGTCGAAAAAATAAGTATAGACAGAGTAGGAATAAAAGAGGGTGAATAATGACGTAGTAAATAATAATAATAATAATAGTAATAATAATAATAATAATAATAATAACGTGAATCGTTTGACCGTTTGTCGAAGCAAGTATAGTATTTTCCGTAAGTATTGTCATTTCATTCTGTTTGCCTGTGAGCTGTGATAATGCCCGGGTGCCAAAACCGAAGCAGGTGGTTTTCTTAGAGGGCCACACCCCGAGCCTTTGACCTAAAGGTCTAATCCACAAGGCAGTGGAGCATCGTAAGGAGATGCAGTCCCATGGAAGCCGGTGACCAATAATTGGCTCATACGCCATTTGTTCCTGCAGGATACTGGCTCATATATACACCATTGGTTTGGGATTCGGTTAAAGCGCCGGACATTCGCTTTTCGTCCTCTCATTTCCGTAGACAACACCCGTGGTGCGAGAAGGTAGTGAGTAGGACTTCTCTGGCAGAGGCTATATGCGCGTGACCGTGTGAGAGTATTTCGAGAGGGAAGGCGGGCTCACCCCACTCTCGGCCATACCAGGGCATTTGGGGGGCGTAATTGCCCCAGAAAATAGGACGGAACGCGCTTTGTCCTGGATTCCAATGCTAGTCACTATCCATCTTTACTTATAATGCTTGTGAATTAAGGCGATACGCACATATGCCATTAAGAGACTGATGAATTACAGTCTTAAACATCAATGGAAAGATTCAAGCAACCAATACAAAATGCATGAAATGTTTTTGTTTTCCTTTAATTACTTAGTCTCGAGCTTTATTAGCTTCTCTCATAAATTCAATTAAATAATTGTACACATATAGCACATATGATATTGAGTGTATGCATTTATTCGTTATCCTATAGGTAGCACATAGTTTTGTTGTTTATGTCAACACTCTTTGTTCTAAATGTTACAATACATATATCTTGTACGCATAACAAGGTAACTACACGAATGAGGAACATACAGTGAAACAGAAGGCATACAAATAATAGGTATATATATATTTATCCTTCTGACCTAGACTAGAAAATATAGTCTATGGTCTTGACCAAATGTGTATTTCATATCATATCTTCCAATAGCATATCCTTTTCATATGTTCTTACTCATTCATGACCTTGAGGTGACACGTGAGGTGTCTGACTTATCTATAGATTAGTTTTCTTTGTCTAGAGTTTATCAAGAAAAATTGTTTTACTGAAGAGTTCTCTTTTTTTTCGATGAATTCATTTACAAAGCTATACAATCACAATTGATGTTGTTCTACTTGTATTTTCTCATTGATATTTAGGACTGCAATTGATCAGTCGCTTATTGACATATGTGGATCTTGTGCATATTACCTCGATATTGCCTTAGTTCACAAGCATTCTAAAGAAACATGGATAGTGAATAGTAGTGGAATACAGTTTGACGCATGTTTCATCCTATTTATGACTTATCAGTTGGATATATCTACATTTCAAGACTCAATAGCTAAGTGTATAAGGTGATGGTGTTTGGAGCGAATGGTAGTGGGTTCGAGACCCAGAGTGAACATCAACTTTGGGATGCAAGTGCATTCAACTGATGAGTCCCAAATAGGATGAAACGCGCTTTATCCTGGATTCCACTGCTAGCTACTAACCATCTTCGCTTATAATATATAATCATTATTTCGGCGAGACTATAATTTACTACCAGATTTACTATAACAGGTTTTAGATTTTGGCGCGAAATTCATTCACTCATTTGGTGGCTAAATAGTGTCTTGTCATTATAGCTGATGTCAGTTCGTGATGAAAAACCCTAAATCTAATTCCTGAACCTAACTGTCAACTTCAAATCATCAAACTGCTTTATAAATCTCATTTATCCCTAGTAAATAGGTAAACACCCTGAAGGTCAATTTAGCGTCTCTCAAAGGTCGTCCATAGATTATAGTCTCATCATTGTTTCTTTTAGACATAGTGACAATAAGGTAGAATAAACAAAGGCAATAAAACTTTATTTTTCATCTGGGAAATGATCATTGTCAAGGGGTAGTTCAGCATGATAAGATAAAATGTTGAAATTGAAATAAAATGTAATCAGGAAGATTGTAGAAACAGAAATAAATCAGTCGGAGCGGGGGTTGAAGATGGAAGGGGAAGCAGATGCTTATAAAGGAAGAAGACATAAAGACCATAGTAGAAGTAGCAATTGTACCAATCTGTTTTGAACACATAATTCTGATTTTCCCAGATGTATAGCTATTACTTCGGTAGTGTTAAGAAGATGCAATATAACTGTCTTTGGAAGGTTTCTACTTATCTTGTAGATGACTTTGAACACACAGTCTATCTTGATTGAGTTCACAAGGTGTTCGATTATCGAACTACTTATCGAGCCATTTGTCCAGATTTACTTAACTTATCAATGAACATCCCTGCAATTAATTCATTTCCTCTAACAAATTGGTTGATGATGAACGTGTTTTCTTCTCGCTTTTTCGGGTTAAGTTACTGATCTCAGTCTTATTAATGTAATTATAGCGATATTTAAAATGGTTATCTTATGTGTTGTATTTAAAGCAGCCAAGGAAAATATAAGATGGGAGTTCATAAACCTTTGTAATCTTATAAGCAAAAATGGTTAGTAGCTAGCAGTGGAATCCAGGATAAAGCGCGTTTCATCCTATTTGGGACTCATCAGTTGAATGCACTTGCATCCCAAAGTTGATGTTCACTCTGGGTCTCGAACCCACTACCATTCGCTCCAAACACCATCACCTTATACACTTAGCTATTGAGTCTTGAAATGTAGATATATCCAACTGATAAGTCATAAATAGGATGAAACATGCGTCAAACTGTATTCCACTACTATTCACTATCCATGTTTCTTTAGAATGCTTGTGAACTAAGGCAATATCGAGGTAATATGCACAAGATCCACATATGTCAATAAGCGACTGATCAATTGCAGTCCTAAATATCAATGAGAAAATACAAGTAGAACAACATCAATTGAATTTGTAATTTTATGAGTTGTTTTTCAACTTATATATATCAATTTCAATAGTTGAGATCATGAGTCAATTAAAGCTAGACCACCATGGAAAACCTGGAATCACTGGACGGCCGTTTCGTCCTAGTATGGGTTTACTCAGCAGTGCGCATGCACGATATCGACCCTCACGTGATTTGAACCCAGGACGTATCAGTCTCGCGCGCGAGCGCTTTACCATTAGACCACTGAAACGGAATCCAACAATGTTGATGTCTAACTTCAACCAATCCACGAAATTGCGCCACCATCACCATTGTCTTCAGTGAGCTGATATCTCACAACAGACCTAGTTGAACTCCACTGGTCACGGCTTCTCACTAGAACTTCAGGAGTGTCTCTTGAAGTCAATTGCTAGTGAGCAGATGATTATTGTCAGAAGCGGTATTGTGGATATTTTAGAAATAGGTCCTGGGTTCAAATCACGCAAGGGTCGATATCGCGCATGAGCACTGCTGAGGAGTCCCATAGTAGGACGAGACTGCCGTCCAGTGCATCCAGGTTTTCCATGGTGGTCTGGCTTCAGTTGACTCATGATCTCAACTATTGAAATTTCTGAAATCTTCACAAAACCCCTTCTGAAAATATAAATTTTACAAGAATAATAGTCATTTTGGCGCCATATTCTTTCCATAATCTTTACACTATCATCATATACATTCATTTAATGAAAAAGATGAATAACAACAACAAAAAAAGACAATTCACAACATTGAATTCAATCATAGTGAAATTTATATCGCATCGATTTGTTCATTGATTCATTGATCGAACGGTCCATCGATCGATCGATCAGTTGATCAACTATTTATTCTACCTCGAGATGGCAATTTTCTAGAGTATATTCTATAACAATAATAATATTCATGCCAAATCAATCAATAAAGAATTATAAATATCTGGGGGGTTATATTACAATATCTTGTATATTGTGTTCTTTGTTTATTTTGAGAACGATATTGATTTTCTTTGTTAAACCTTTCTTTTTTCTTTCTGCTTCTACTTAAAAAAGCTACTTTTACTTCTGCTTAGTAACAATCATATCGATTTGATTTCTTTGTTTGTTTGTTTTTTCCGATTTTATTTACTTGAACGGATTGCTTTGGAAATTACTAATACCCAACATGTCATGATATATACAGATATATAATGTATGAACTATTGACAAGTAGTAAGTAGTAGTATAACGGGTCATATTATGTGAGGTACATGAATCTAATACTTTATTCGATAAAATTATAATTTATGGACGAACTAATCAAGTATAAGATAACAGGTCTTGGATTTCGGGCGCGAAATTCACTCACTCATTTGGCCAAATATCATTTTGACATTATAGCTGATGTCAGTTCGTGATAAATACCCCAAAATTTAATTCCTAACCTTAACCATCAGCTGTAAATGAGAATTCTAATTCCTCATACACTGGTTTATAACCCTCATTTGGTCCTAGTAATCAGGTGGACACTCTCAAAGTCAGTTTACCGTCGCTCAAAGGTCGTCCATAAATTATAGTCTCACCTTATATTCTTCGAGGTAATCATAGTGATGAGTTCACTTTGACTTTTGGGGATAACTTGGATTAATTCAAAGGCTTTAGACAGTTCACATAAAACTATTCAATTTATTTACCAAGATATTTTTGAACAAGAATGTATCTATACACGTATAAATGACAGGAAGGATGCTTTGGTACTGCTGAGAGTGGGGAGAGTCAGCTCTCCCTTTCGAAATGCCCCCATATGGCCACACGTATACAGCCACTGTCATGCAATTCCTACTTCCTGCCTTCTCACGACATCACTGTTGTTTGCGATATTGACAGGACGAAAAGCAAGTCTCCGGCTCTTAAGCACGGGTTGGTGGGTATTGAGGATCCATCTAAGGGAGTTAGAAAACCCTGATTCCAAACCAATGGTGAACATGGAATCCAAGATCCTGAAAGAACAAATGGCATATGAACCAATTATTGGCCAATGGCTACCATGGGACTACATCTCCTTACGTTGCTCCACTGCCTTGTGGATTATAACTCTAAGTTAAAGGCTCGGAGAGGGGCTCCATAAGAAAACCACCTATTTCGGTTTGGACACGTGGGCAGTATCACAACCATCACACAAGTCGAATGATTTATGTGGCGCATATCTATTTGGTGCCTCCTTGTACCAATAATAATAATGCCGATATACACAAAGTATCCTTGTGTACGGTATATTACATATGTTCAAGTTAAATAACTATTCTTATCTGCACAATATGCAATTCACCACATAATGTATTTCAATCTAATTTCGTAACAAATTTCTGATGGATGATGTCTTCTTTGAATGGTTTCACTCAACATATTGGTGTTGAGTGCTCTGGTATAGAATTTGCGACTAACCGAGAACAAGTTATGTAGTCCTTATGAATCTTCATCTGAATAATTCATTCATGGGAGCTCAAACTTGATGATAATCTAAAATTCAAACTTTCATTGAATTGCGTCGATAGAATTTTCTTTGAATTTACTAACCTAACGAATTTGAAAAATACTACGTCTGATTTGATATGAAGTAATTGATGAAAATCAATAGTTGTTACTCTACCCAGATTTTGTGCTCGTTCGATTTACAGATAGTACTCAGACAAGATTGAAGGATAAACTTTAACAAATAGACCGTTCCTTATTTCCTTTACTCACACTTATTGTTTTAATGTTTTTCTCAGTACTTCGACCATCGGCTGCTTAACGGGGACCAGTAGGTTCTCATAATGGATCTAAGGATTTAATTCACAAGGTAACGAAGCATTGTCGGTCGATACAGTCCCATGATATCTGGCAGTTAAAATAGGTTCATGCACTATTGATTCCTTCAGAGTCCTAAAGCTCATTTATCTTATAGGTTTGGAATCCAGGTGTTCCAACTCTCCTAGATAGTTTATTCGTACCTACTAACTCAACTCAATCAGTGAAAACCGCTTTTCGTCCTCT